TACTCAAAGTATTCCAAAACATAGAAAAGGATGGAACCCTCCCTAACTCATTTTATGAAGCAAGCATAACCTTAATACCAAAACCAGGAAAAGACACCACTCAAAAGGAAAACTACAGACCAATATCCCTCATGAATATAGATGCAAAAATCTTCAACAAAATTCTAGCCAATAGACTACAGCAACATATCAAGAAAATCATTCATCATGACCAAGTGGGGTTCATACCAGGTATGCAGGGATGGTTCAACATTAGAAACAATCAATGTACAATTGAGCTGGGTCTTGAAGGATGAGTACAGGTTGGCTCCTTGAGAAGCAGGAATGGCAGTGTCTTAAACAAAAGCCTGCAAGGCCTGTGAAATAGTTGTGTTTAGTGAATATAGTGAATAATTGAGTTTGGTTAGAACATTTGAGGGGAGCAGTGGAAGATTGGTCTCCACAGCAGCCTTGTGAGGAAGGTAGGGGAGGAAGGTTCAAGGTCTCATGGCTAGGAAGTGGCAGGGGTGGGACTCAAACACATACTGACTGCAGAGTCCTTCTCATAGTGTTTAAGGCTGCCACCTGTTGGCTGTTTGAATGTCGACTGGCAGCCATAAAGGCTGCTGCCATGTTTGTGGCTCAGATGCCCAGTCATGAATGTCCCCATCATCACGGATTCTTTCTGTAGGCACATGTTGACTCAGATGTTGTATTTGGGGAGACACCTACTTCTCAAGGCAGTCTTCTGCTCATTCAGGCTGTGACCCCTGAGCCCTATTCCCTGCCTCTGAACTGCTGCTCCCACACTGTCACACTGTGGCCCTACTGGAATGGAGTGACACACAGCTGGGCCCACCACAGTGTGCTGTGGAAGAAGTGGCAGGGCTCGTTCTAAAGCAGAAGCCTTTCCTTTTGGGGGTGAGGGGAAGTAGGGTGAGTGTTGAACAGTGCCATTGTTTGAATCTGCTTTATCTCCCCTGTCCTGCCTGAACATTTAGATTCTGAAAGTCAAGAGGAAGCCATCCAGATCATTGCAGTGCGTCTCGCCCAAATAGGGGATGAGATGGAAAGAAGGGTCCAGCCAAATCTGATACAAAACTTGGCAAGGCATTTTATGAACATGAACTTGACAGAGGAAGTAAGTAATCAAACTCACTGATGCCTTTTCTGGGTTAGAGGGTAAGTGTCAGGGTTTTCTCAGTTGTCAGTTGAACCAACAAGGTCTGTCCCTTGTCCCCTATCAGGTTGACCAGTGTCCAGCGAGATGACTTAGTTCATTACTGTCAGGTCTGGGTCTTTTTGGTCTTCAACAAAAGAATTAGAGTCAGAAGGGACTTCCAGAAGATTAAATTAGTTGATATTTAGCAATCCTGAACCTTAAGGCAGAGTCAAGAGTTTTGGGGATAAAATGCCTCCAAAAAGATGGTGGACAAAATGTACATGGCTCTTCAGAATAACTTTTTTTTAGTTCTAGGCAGTTGTATGAAGATGCCAGTGGAGAACTTACCCGCGTGTGATAAGCCAGCTACTCTTGACTTTGTGGTCATAGCCAGTCAATATAAAAATCATTACTGAGCTGCTGCCATTTGCATGGCCCCTTGAGAGATTCAGGCCTAAGTCTAAGGCACTCTGTCCTTCTGAAGAAACTTAGTGGGGGAGAGAAATAAATACCCCAAGGCCATCCAGTAGTTACAGGAGTTCAGAGGAGAGAAAGGTTCTTTACTTTAGACTTCTACCAGCAAATGCAGATGCCCCTCCATCTATAAATGCATTCATCCTTCAGGGGTCAGCCCGGAGACTTGTCTCCATCCTGGTGATGTCTCTATCATAGTATCTCCTAATGCTCTTGCCTTGGAGTCACTCCCACAATGTTAACTTAATTTTGCAATGTGAATCGATGAGCTTGAGGTCCTTTTAAGTCTGTGGTTGGCCTCTGCTGTGTAGGTGGGAATGTAACTGGTAGCCCTTTCATCCCCTTCCCTTAGCTAGATCTGCACCTCCAATAGGAGGGGCCTGAGACTTAGGTCAGGACTGACTTGGCTTTTTGTATTCCATTATTTTCTAATAGTGACACACTGTGCTCAATAAGCATGTATTTGGTTAATGAACATCCCATTCCAGGGAGTGAGTTCAGACCTCCCTTTCCATTGCCTCTCGAAACTAAATTGTATCCCACTCTTTTTGCCCAACTTCCTTAGCAATTTGATAAATACGTTGTACTGAAATGAAAGCTGTGTCTTCATACTTATGTATCATTGAGTAGACTGTCTGGGATAGTTTTTCCTTTAAGAGGAAACTGTTTGACCCTTATCTCTTTACTCCTGTCCAGGATAGAAGGAGGTACCTGGAAGCTGCCCTGGAGCAGGCATTGCAGACCTGTCCCATGGACATGGATTTGGAAAAGGCCAAGCTGATGTTGACCATGCTGTTGGCCAAAAAGGTGGCTGATCACATGCCTTCCTTGCTCCATGATGTCTTTCACACCACTGTGAACTTTATTAACCAGAACCTACTCACCTACGTGAGGAACCTAGCCAGAAATGTAAGAACCACTGATATTCGCCCCATAGCCTTTCTTAAGTCCCCTTGATTCTCTGCCTGCTCCCCACCTCTCCCTCTCCAGTCTGAAGACCAGTAGCACCCTCTGCTGCAGGCTGCTTGCTGCCCTTCTCTGCCTGCTTCTGGTGACCAAACCTGCTTTCTGCTCAGGAAGAAAGGCTTGGGTTTGCTTTCCTGGCAAAGGTGTATGGTATAAGGTGCTAATGGACATCTAGTATCCTTTTGAGCTTTTCCAGCTTTATTATTTATTTATTTATTTAGGTGAAAGTTTCCAGAGCAAATTCATTTTCCATACAGCAGCTCACACTTTGTCTCAGAACATTGACTCCAATTTCCCACAATGCAACAGCTCCTTCCTCCCCATAGTTACCTCTTCCCTGTGTTCTTCCCTCCCATGCACTCTTGCCAGCCAGCCACATCATTCTCTACTCCCATCATCTACCTTTCATCCTCCTAACTCCCTAAGTTTAAGGCACTGCTCCAAGTTTTCCAAAAGATCTTTAACGCAATGGGGAGAGGAGGTGCTTGTCAGTCGCCTGGTCCCTTTGCTTACTGTAAAAGGTTATTTTAACACTATGCCTGAAACCTGAAAGGAAAATAAATCCTAAATAGAAACAAAACATAGAATGTGTTTAAAAAAATTCAAAAACCATAAGATAAACTTATTTTTAAACAATTGCTCCATCAATAAGCACACTTTTTCACTATGTATCCAGATTTTTCATACACTCTGTATATACTTCTTTTGGGTTAAGAAAAGGACCAATTGCTTTAAATTTAGAGGAACTTTACTTGGAGAGGTATTTGGTGGTTAAAGAAAAATATACTGAGCATTATTATATGAAAGTGAAACTAACATACTGTTTAAAAGTAAATTTGTCATACGTTTTCAGACTTTCTAGATACCCTGTATTTCCATCAAACGCATATTGCTGTTGCTGTGTGTCATCAAGTCGATTCTGACTCATAGTGACCCTAAGTGACAGAACAGAACTTTCCCAAAGAGTTTCCTAGACTGTGATCTTTATGGGAACACATCACCTGCACAATAACACCCTTAATTTCCTACTTATTCCACCCCATCCCAAACACCAAATTTCTTTTGCATGTAAGGCATTCCTACTTTAATGTTTACAGTTAACACTTAGGAAGAAGCTGCCAAAGAGAGAACTGTTAGTACCATCAAGTCCAGTCAACTTTGTTACTGATTGCTATGTAACTACAGATGAGTCCCTGGTCCTAAATAAAAACGGCAGCTCT